TAGAGCCTCTAATCATGTCTTTCACTCTGCTCACTATCTCTGTAGTTATCTGAGAGATTATTTCTGCTTTGAATTTTTCTAGAGCCTCATCCATCTCTTTTGTTACTTCCTGTGCTGTCAGTTCAGGCTGTCCTGGTGGTTCATTATCAGACTTTCCATCCTGTTTTCCCCAGAATTTGCCTTTTGTGGGGTGGAAGTATGAGTTTGTGACTTGCTTAAATGTCTTCTCATTTTTGTTTTTGGTACTGTCCTTGGATTATTTCCTGGTTTGATGCTTTGAAGCTGCTTATTGTAAGTATCTTTGTTGATGTATTTAAAACCCTTATGGAATGATTGCTTCTAAGAAGTGTCTTCCAGATATAGCTGGTCTCTAGGTTTTGGGTCTCTAATGGTTCTGAGGCTATCTCATTTTCATTATACCAGGAAGGACAACAGATTAGATCAATAACAACACCTTAGCCCAAATGATACAATTACCAACACAACAGCATCAAGTACCTTTTAGAAAATGATAATTTGTTGTGGTGATTAACCTATCACCTTTAACTGTGTGCATTAAATCAAGGTCAAGGACCAATCAATATATGTTTATACTGAATAAACTCTTCAATATAGCAACTTTACCCTTCAGGATGGGGAGTTAGAAGGAGTTAGGGAGGGAGGAATAGGCAAGTAGAAGGATAGGGGAAGGTTAGCATTGAGGCCAGGGGGCATAGGCAAGAGAAGGAGAAAGAGAATAAAAGAAAAATAAACAAGAAATACAAATTAGGGCCAGAAGAACACAAAGGGAGATGAAGAACAATGTGGGACAGCAAGGGAATGAGGGAGAGAGAAAGAGAGAAAGAAAAGAGAACAGAAAGAAAAAAGAGAAAAATAAAAATTTTAAAAGAGTAGAAAAGGAAGAAAAAAATCAAAACTAAGAGCAAAAAAAAGTGGTAATTTTGAAAATAACAAATAAAAGTTAAAAATGAAGGACCTCCTTCAGGGTATGTCTCTGCTGTCACAATAGACAACGTGGGCAGCAGTGTGCAGTTATAAGTCAGTGAGTCTCAGTAAGCCAGTCGCAGACCCATGCAATTCAGGCAGATTTCTGGCTGCGAGTCCCAGGTTGAGCTCCCTGTTCTCCTGCAAGGTTGAACTCTGCCAGGTTCTATTGCAGGTTCCAGCTACCTTCCTCCTGAAGATAGTCCAGGTTCCAATGGGAGGTGATGATCTCTCCAGCTTACCAAGTATGGTGGTCTGGTGAGCCTTTATTGCAGAGATTCTCTTCACTTTTCCAGTGGGCTTCAGTTTTCATCAGGGAGCCTGAGAGAGGCCCTCTCTCTGTTGTTCACTTCTGCAGTTCAGGACGATGGCCTTTATGTCCCCCTGTGCCTCTGTAGTGTGGAACCAGGTAGCTGCACAGCCAAGAGGCCAGAGGTGGGGGTGGGGGGCTGTAGTTGCAGGTGCCCACATAGCTAAACTGGCTCCTGGTGGGCATCTGAATTATGTTTCTTAAAAGGAGACTGCACCCCAGCCGATAACATCTTGTACATCACTAATATAAACATGAACACATCAACACATTGAAAAACCATGAAAGAAAAACTGAATAAAATAACTTTACAGATGACAAATCCTTACTACTTGCACCATGTCAGACAAATGTCAATGGATCAAACTAAGATTAGGTAAAATCAGCTCTATACTGATTAGTTCTTTGTTTGTTTGCAATACTCTAGATTGGATACTGGGCCTTCTCCAGCACATATGTACATACATATATACATACGTACATACATAAATTTAATTTTGAGGCAGGAGCTCTCTAAATTGCTAGGTAGGACTTGAAATTGTAGTCCTCCTTCCTCTACTTCCCAGACTGCTGGAGTTACAGGATTGTACCACCACACCTGGCTCCAATCCATACACTCAAAGAACATAAACACAGTGAAAGTAAAACCAAACCTAGGGTAAACATAATGACAACAGATATAATAGGTAATTACCAAGAATTATAGGATAGTCTTGAACACATCCTAACATAAATGCACATCAGTTTTCACTAGATAAAGTAAGAAATGGAACAGAAATTCCAATTAAAGGTATGGAGAGAAAGAGGCAGACACAAGACAGGGAGAAAACCAGTGCATTGTTTTTAAAGTTTCTTCTTTTGTTCAAATTCCATTTATGTATTTAACCCCTGCACAACTTGAACAACTTATTCAACTTCTCATTGTCAGTTTTCTTTTCTGTCAGAGCTAAACGTAGCTCTTCATAGGAGAAGGATAAATGAGATTACTGCAAAAACTGTATAATTCCTTACTCGTTATTTGCTTAACAATTATTAGCTAGTCTTGCTCTTATATCTCCATATGTGTATTTATGCATGTGCATTTCCATATGTATGCATGTGTATTTGTGTAGCCACTATGAATACATATTTCATTAACAATATTTATCACTTGGTAATAAAATTTAAACATTTTCCCACATGTAACCAAGTATTCTAACATTCTCCATTTATGGCTTTGTATATAATTATGTAAATTTTGAGAAAGCCTTTAACAGCCAAAGTTTTATTCTTGTTAGTTCTAATTATTTTCCTGATACAATTGTTGTAAACATTAGAGGAAAAAATGCAACAATGACAAAAGATGGAAAATAATTTAGAAATTCATTTTTCTTTATTCTATTGTTAAAAAAAATCAGTGAACTTATATAGAGCCTGTGCCTTATTTGACTTTCCATACTTTAAACACTAGGAATAATCTTTTGTAGAAGCTAAGTCATTCTTTGGTTTGCCTTTAGTTCATGAAAAATGTGTTCAGTACTGCACTGTTCTTTGTTATATTTTGGAGTGATTCATCCTTTGAATATACCTTAAAATTCAAAACTCTGTAAAGCAAGTGTGTCATTTTTTCCCATTAACTTTTACCTCTGGGTTTGTGAACCTTTATGTATGTACCATCCACCTGGCTCCTATGTTTCGTATTCTGCCAAATGCAGTTAGAAGCACCTGAAGGACCTGACCCTATTTCAGAGAAGCCAAATCACTGGGACAAATAAAGGGAATTCTTTGGAAGTAAGAGACAGATGCAGCATTCATTGCCAAATAGAGCAAAGCATTTTAGATGGAACTTGAAAAGAAAGTGCTCATTTCTACAGCATATGTTGCAGTTCTTTCAATAAGCTAAAGAGTGTATGTGGTTTTTAAAGTATTTCATGAGAAAATGACAGCAATAATTAATGGTGATACTTTCAGCTCTCAATTGGACATGCAAAGCAGTTAACATGAATTCTTAGATATAATTTGAAAATGTAGAAAATACCTTGGTATATACAGTATGGTATTTTGTTATATATATATATATATAAATAAATATATATATATAGTTTCAAGTAATAGGATATGTGAAAATATTTAAGACTAATTTAAGACAATGGTTGTAAAATTG